TGGAGGACCAGCCACCTGGTACAAAAGCTGGGCAGAGTGAGAGAAAAACTAGACAAGAACTAAACAAACGGAGAGAAGAACAGAAGCTGGGAGTGATGAAGGTATAGAGCAAAGACACCGAGAGTGCTGGCCCCTGGCCACACCAGAGCAGAGAGCAAAGATTCATGCACACTGTAGTTGGAGAGAGCAAAACATCAGTACCAAAAATACGGAGCTGAAAACAGCCCCAAATCCAGTACTTGCCCTTCTGGAAATGAGGGAGTAAGAAGGATTCATCCTCTTGCCTTAAACATCAACAAATGGGAAAAAATTTTTAAATGGTTTTCGAACACTGGCCAGCAGGGAGCACAGGAGAAGGGAAACAAACAAGGTGAGCCCTGCGATTGCTGCAGCCTCCTGGCTGCAGAGTTTTCAGTCAAGCAGCTGCGCAGAAAGCAGGAGCAAAGCCTGGCAGTCTCCCTGAGTGGAGCGGACGTAGCTGAGAATGCAGGGACGTCAGAGTGGCTGAAGTGGCAGAGTGCAGTGGCAGACAGGACCACCAGGAAGGAAGGGCCTTGCGGAGAGGGCCTTGTGGGGAAGAGAGCTGCACAGAGAGCCCCACATGGAAGAAGAGCCAGGGGCCCTCCCCACATGGAAGAAGACCCCCACATGGAAGGCTCTCCTCACATGGAAGGCTCTCCCAACATGGAAGGCTCTCCCCACATGGAAGAAGACCCCAGGAAGACCCGAGGGGCCCTGCCGTTCAGTCGACCTGACTCAGAAAACGTCCAGTGCTGGGTGGCTGCCCGCATCTCCACAGCAGGTGCTGTGCAGGGCCAGTTGGAGGGCACACTGCTGGGCCAGGCACACTGCCGGCCGGGCACACTGCTGGCACAAGCGGGAAGAATGCCGCTGGACCCGCTTGCCACTGCCCGCTCCTGTCCACCGCACTGGCTGCATGATTTTGATTGGGTACTTTCTGAATCCCACTGTTGCTCATTGGATGTTAAAGCTTGTTGCTCATTGGATGTTAAAGCTTGTTGCTGATTGGATGGTTTCTGGAATCCTACCAAGGGTATAAAAGTAGGAGGAGAACAAGGAGGGGGGTCAGAAGACGAGAAGAGAGCTGTAAGGCTAGCTGTGCTGTGCCTGCTGGCTGAATAAAGGCTCTTCGTGTGCTGTTGGGTTCTTTTCCTGGTCAAGAGCTGTAACACTACCTGTACACCTTGCTGCAACAGCACACTGGTCATGCACAGATGAGAAGCTACCCAAGCGGGGGGCAGGAAGCCACCCCCTTGCTGTACAGGGCAAGGAACAGCTGATACCCCCGTAGCCTGTGATGCACAGGGCATTGGGTACGCTTAGAAGAGAAAAACAATCCCTGGGCAAAGGCTGCACAGCTACCACCTAGCCAAGCTCAGAAGCAAGATTCAACAGGATCAGCTGTTTCCCGGTAACCTAATTGTGTCCAGAATAAGGTATAGGAATATTTAGAGGAGTACAGAAATACCTGACACCCAAAATGGCACAGATGCCAATGTCTGGACATCCACTCAAAGATTAGTAGAGATGCAAAGTAACAGGAAAATATACTTAATAACGAGGTGGGGGTGGGATTGGTCAACATAAACAGATCTGGCAATGGCACAGAGGAGTCTACGAGGACATTAAAAGAGCTATAACTATACACCATATGTTCAAAAAGGTGGAGAAAAGAATGAGCAATGTTAAGAATATAAAAAGATAAAAAACAACCCTGAAGTTGGAAAAGGAGCACCTCAAATCTCAAGGTATCTCTGATATATTAAAGGGAAAAGCAGTATCTGCTTTCCTTATCTAGAGGGATCATACTACTTCCTGTCCAAACAAGTAGACTTTATGAGTGAAAATTGTGCTATTAATAATTACCTTGGGACTACATGCATAGACTAAGACTGTCCAGGTTTAATTTTGACATTTGATGAGGCCAGCATTTCCCCCAAACCTTAGCAATATTAAACCTTGGGCAAGGAAGTGTATATATGACCATCAGAAACAGGCGACACTACAGTTTCAGTACTTAAAGAGATGACCTTCAGCCTTCTGGAAATCACAGACATACAAATTAATGCATGCCATACACCTCTCCAAAATCAGTTTGTACCCTGCAGCCCTCTCCATTCTCCTCACACCAACTTTGACCTCTCTCTACTGTGTCGTGTCTGACTCCGCACTGAGCGTCAGCCTCAGACTCCACAATGCTTGTCCAGGTCAAACCTGGCCGGCCTGGACCTCTGCCCCACAGGACCATGATGCGTACAGCGCCGCGGGGGCTGAGATGGGCGCGCTGTGGGCGCGCTGTGGGCGAGCTGCCCCTCCAGGCGAGGCACTCACATTGTGAGAGTCGCCTCTGGTCTCTCAGGGCTGCTCTCAAGCTACACCAGAAGTGCCAGCAAAGCCCCTGCTAGGTGGAATCTGTACATGCTCTAAGTTGTTTGTCCAACGTAGTCAAAATATTAATGGCTCTAAAGAGAAAGGTGATCTTTTGCTAGGTACGCAACATGTGCTGCATACTGATCCGGTGGTGAGAAACTTCAAGTCGATGGCACAGAGCGAAAAGATACTAGGTGTGCTGGTGATGGGAGCTTTTCCCTGTATTTCAACGAGCCTCTGTTCTTGTGAGTAATGAGATTGTCACAGATCCTGACTGCGTGCTATGGCCTGGTTGAAAGCCAGACCCGAGCCTGTCCTGGAGCACGCGGCCAGCCAGATGAGCCTGGAGCTCCATTGTCACCACCTTTTCAAACACAGGCATCTTAATTAAAAAATTATAAGCTAGACTTTTGCCAAGGATTCAGATAAAACATCAAAAAGGGGGAAGGTGTCTTTCTTTCAGTTGAAGGGCAGGTCCAAGATTGGGGGATAAGGGTGGAAAATCAGGTGGAGGAGGCTCCCGAGAAGACCAAAGCAAAGCTCGTCCCCAGCGAGGGGGTCTTTCCCATTTTGCAGGGAGATGACACTGTGCTGATGGCCATGTCCAAAAAAAGCCTCTTCCCTCTGCTCCCAAATCTCATCTTGGAAAACAGGCCTGTCCCAGAATGTAGGGGAAAACATACAAAGCACATTGAGTGTAGATATGAATCTTAGTGCTGCAGAAAATAGCCAAAATAGTGGCATCTTCTCTGCTGCTGACAGTACTTTGGATTCTCTGCTCCTTGCAGGTAAATCAAAACTAGAACTTAGCCTTGGCTCCCAGTAGAAGACGGTTCCAACATGGGCACATTCATATCTGCATGGCCATGTTCACAGCCTGATCACAGGTCAGGGATGTCTGATTTGTTAGCGTCAGACTCAGTAGGGGGATGGCAAAACCAGTGGACATCTACCTTGGAGATGAGAGACAAACACGCTTTCTCCATCCATATCCTGACAGTGACCTTGTGGTCTTCAAACGTTTGGGCATTTAAATAAACAGACTGTTGTAAAATGTCTAATTAACAGCTAAAGGTTCTACGTGAAGGCTGGAATATTAGAAGAAAATGGTTGGATTTAGTTTATCTTCAATGCTCTCAATTTTGACTTCCATCTTTGCCTATAGCATGAACACATCCTGGGAACTTAAGCTAACCCAAGCAGAACCATGGGCAACCCAACCAGCAGACAGACTTGAATAAGGACCCTCACACAGACCTCCTTTCGCTTTGGTGCCAGGACTTGGGTCTTTTCAAAGATTCAGACGTCAATGCTTCTCCAGCTAGAAGGGGCTTCACCCCTGGACATGTGCACAGGTATACCAGGATATTTAATATGTATAATAAACCTAGAACATCTTTTCAGAGCAACAGTTTCACTAGAAGATTTAAGAGAAGGGGGAGTTAAGAAATGTTCTATTAGTTTAAGAGCATATCCAATGTTTTTAATATTAAAGTTTGGATGACTTATAGGGTTATGGCTAATTTGCAAGAAATTCTAATATAAAACATGAGACTTCCTGGTATTTTCCTTGTGCTGGGTCTTTGGGGGCCTCATCTGCAGCCCCTTGCAGTACCAGCCCAACATTCCATCTCAGTCTAGAAGTCTGGTCCTCATCACTCACAACAGAAAGTGCACCCTGGAGAACATACATCTTGCTCCTGTTCGTGGCTTATTTTCATTTTTCTTCGTAAATCTCAGAGAAACCCATGAGAACTGAGCAACCCTAACAGTGCCCAGTGATGGATGAGGAGTACCCACTGTGCCGGGCCTAATATTTTCCCACCACCAGGTCTCACAGTGGTGATATGGAGATGTCTCAATGTCGAACTCAGAAAATCATGACTCTGGCCACTCACAGGCTGCCACACCTGGCTGTCGACAGGGTGTGGAGCAGGGCAGTCCCCAGGCACTGCAGAGGCAATGCTCGCCGAGGACTCTTCCCCGCGGAGTGCCCTGGGCTGACTTCTGCAGAGCCCAGGCACAGCAGGACGGCCACGCCAGGTCTGCTTCCCAGGGCGCCCTGGGGCTCCAGCAGGTGAGCCGGCCTCGCGGACTGGCCCACAGCAAGAGGCCCCAGGTGTGCCCGGCCTCCTCAGCGCTGTCCCCAACGCGTGCTCACACAGGAGGGCGGAGGAGTGCTCTCCTCTCCTGTGGGCCTTCTGTCCCTTTATCTGCCCCTCCTGCTGCTTCCTTTCTGGTTTCTTCCCAAATCTCTTTCTGTGGGTACAAATTCTGAAAAAACAAATGCCATCATGTAACTACGGAAAATCAGAAAGGAAACCCTTCTTTTCACTGAGAAAGGAACCACAAGTGATTTGTTTTCCATCTCACGTACACAAAGGTACATGTGTCTGTCACTGCCCGTGCCTGTCACAAATATTGTATTCGCAACACAACAGCTGCTCATCTTTACACAGCACTCCTCCTCTCTCTGGAGAAAGCGGCGTGCGTGCGTGCGTGCGTGCGTGCGTGCGTGCGTGCGTGCGTGCGTGCGCGTGCACACGTCTCGGCGCGCCCGCCCGGACGACAGCGCGCCTGCCCGCCCTGCGCAGCCCGCGCTCCTCGCCTCGAGGCTTGCTTGAGTGTGGGCTCTTCCCGTCCCCTTCCGCCACCCGCTTTCCTTCCCGGGCGCTGCCCGCCTCCAACGGCCAGGAAATGCGCTGATCCGCTCTGGCTGCTGTTCCTTGCGCGGTTCCCCCCAGGAGGACACATTTCGTGAGGGCAAAAACCTTTGTTCTCTTCATTAATTTATCCGCCGAGCACCTAGGACAGGGCCGAGCTCATGGATGCTCCATAAACGCAGACAAAAAATTAATTGTATATGCTAGTGTCCCGAACCTTATTTCCTAATTACCTTCTCTAACGGGGCAGTTAGATGAAAACCAGTTGTCTCTCCTGCCGCGCTGTGTCTAGAAGGAGCACAGGACATGCGGTAAGGACGAGTGTGAGCGGGGCTTCAGGGTGTGTGCGTACAGGCCCTGTCCCTCCTTGCGTCGCCAGGACCCGGCACTGCTCCCCGGGACTGATGCCTCGTCGTCCTGCTTGGAAGCCTCCACCTTGCTCCCCGGCCGTGGCGGCGCCCCGCAGCCACACTCCCGTTCCGCCGGCCGGTGGGTGGCCGGAGCAGAGGAACACCTGAGGAGCCGGGGCGCGGTCTCTTCCACACGTGAATGGGACGTGTGTGACCCCTGCCCTTGACAGTGACAGTCCCAGGTAAGATAGAAGCAGGCTCTGAGGACGGGACTGGCCTGGAAACCAGGACCCGCGGGCACCGGTGCTGTGTCCTCACCACCTGGGGCTGTTAGGGGCATCGAAGCTCTGGGGCGGAGGCTTCACCTCCTCACCTGGAAAACGAGGGGCTTGGAATCGCCATCTCCAGGTGGTCCTTGCAGGTCCTTGCAGCTCCCATGTGACGTTGCTGTAGGCATCTCTGCGGATTTCTAACGTAGCCTAGATGCCACCTGTGCTGGTGTGGAGACCGCAGACTCGTCTTCCCAGCGCTAGCGTGGGCGAGGCCTCCGCTGGGCTGGCCAGGCCGGGGGCTGTGGAGAAGCGGAGGCTGTGCTGGCAGCAGCTGCCAAGGAGACAAGTCACAACCCATGTGCACGCGCCGCCGAGGGCGTGCGTCCCCAGCCTTGTCTGTGAGTGCCCAAGGAAGGCGCGGTGCCACCACCAACGGGAGTCGGACGAGAGCCTCCGTGGAACAGCCCCTAGATTCCATCTGCAAGAAATGAGAAGTCACAAAACTTTCTTTAAAAGCACCCCAGAGGATTCTGGTCGGCCAGCCAAATACCAGGCACTTTGTTTATGGCCTGGGAAAGCCTTGGGAGAAATCCATGCAGACATGAGCCTGGATTACACACCATGTGGCAGGGTAGCCAAGAACACGCTGGCCGGAGAGGAGAGGGAAGGCATGCCCCTCAGATACCAGCACGTCCCGAAGGCGCAAAAAGCAAGACAGGATGATATTGGAGTACGAACCAACAACAAATCAATTGAACAGAATAAAACCCAAATATGTAAAAATATAAATATAAATGATAGTTATAATAGTTGGATTTTAAAATTAGAAGGAAATGTCGATTATTTAGTAAAGGCCACCATTCCTAACCCACATCATATACCAAAATAAATTTCAAATAGAAATTTGGGTTCTATTGCACCTGGTGACATACTAAAAATTACCAATAAAAGAACTAGAAAGCAATGTAACTAAATACTTACCCAACCCCAGTGAGGGACATACACAAAAGCACATACACAAAAGGAAAGGCCAGTAAGTAGAACTACGTGAAATTTTGAAATTCTCTATATAAAAAGAACATTAACTAAATTTTTAAAAAAATGAACAGTAAAGCAGGAGAGAACTTAAAATAATATGGCAGGCTAGTGGTTAAAATTTGAAATACAGGACTCTTAGCAAATCAGTCTGCCTCTCACTAGCTGTGTGACTGGGTGGATCATTTAACTTTATAAACTTTGTCATTTTAATGAGGATAATAATTGAGTTTATCTCAGAGGATTGTGAGGATTAAACGGGCTAATACGTGAAAACAAGGGAACGGAGAAGGCTTATTGAATGTTAGATGTCATTATTACCATAGTACTATTACATTTTTATTTATTATTATAATAGATAATACATACAAATAAATATTTGTTTCCATACAATAAATTATTATTCAATGTCACAAGAGAATTAGGAGTAAAAGCTTAGAAAGGCTTTTACACCAGAGAAATACAAATGGCAAGCTAATGGAATGGTGTCTGCTCATCAGCTATCAAAACAGATGCATTTTACCACTTCAGTACCAGCATCGACTACAGACGACAGCCACAGATGAACGCGCACAGCCCAGCAGCAACTATAATCAACAGCCAAAAGCTTTTACTTTTACAGCTTTTATCACTGGATTTGCAATGTGTACTGAATCTGTTACTACGAATCTGTGACCTTTTAACAAGTCCTTAGTAGGAGTTATTATAGTATGCTTTTGATTTGTGTAATAATATAATTTATCTATTCCCAAAATTTTTGTTTTTATTTTTTATGTTACATTTTAGTTTTTATAATTCTGAGACCTGTAATGGATTCTGACATGTCAAGTGAAGGCAGCATCATTTTGAAACGTAAAAATGTTACTTCAAAAAGGAGGAGGGAAGATTCAGAAGCAGAAGAATTAAAGAGGAAAAAAGAAAATTCTGTAATAAATACGTGGTCGCGTGAAAACTTGGATCACACAGATACAAGTTTGTTGATAAAGACAGTGGAATTAAAGCAGAAAATATTAATGATTCTTTCAATGTTTTGGATTATTTCAAAATATTCTTTTCCGAGAATTTAATGACAGATATTGTAAATGCGACAGTTACTATCGATATACAGTTGCACATGGCAACATAGCTCCTTCATTACAAAATTGATATAACAACAAATGAATTGTATGAATTGTATGCTTTCCTTGCACTAATGCTCATAATGTCTCGTGTGAAAAAGTTATCCATTAAAGAATATTGGAGTCCTAATGAAGTACTTAGAACGGATATATTCAATAAACATATGTCATGAGGTAGATATATAATATTGCTAAAGGTGCTTTGCTTCAGCGATAAAGAATCTGAAAGTTCAGAAGACCGACTGACAAAAATCTGTGAAGTTTTTGATAAGCTGCGTGAAACATTCAAAAAATCATTTTATCCATTCAGGATTCTGTGCATTGATGAGAGTCTCTTACTTTTTAAAGGACGATTATTTTTCAAGCAATATATACAATCCAAGAGAAGTAGGTTTGGGATAAAATCATTTGTGCTGTGCGATTTTTTAACAGGATACGTTTTGGATATAATTGTTTATACCAGCTTAACTACCGAAGTGCAAACATTTTCTGAAAAATTAGGTAAAAGTGGCAATATTGTGGTAACATTGATGCAACCTTATTTAGGAAAGGGTCATCAATTATTCATTGATAATTGGTATTCAAGTCCTGCACTATTCCGGTATTTGGACAGCTTTGCAACAAACGCATGTGGGATAGTAAAAAAGTGACGGGAAGGTATGCCAAGAATGCCAAAAATTAGAAAAAGGAGAACTTAGTTTTAAATCATCAGGAAAATTGGTCACATTGTCAGGACAAACGTGAAGTTTGGATGTTGTCCACAAGTCATTCTGCTGAATATAAGGTTTGTGAAAAGAAAATTATCAAACAGGTGAAAATATTCAAAAGCCTTCATGTATTATAGACTATAGCAAATCGATGGGTATAGTTGATAAAAGTGATGGAATTATAAGTACAGTTTCATCCACAAGAAAAACACTGAAATGGAGCAATAAATTCTTTTTTCACTTACTAGACATTTCAATATGAAATGTATATTGTCTATATAAATTTAACATAAAAACAACTATATCAATGTCCGCATATCATTTGGCGTAAATAACAACAGTTCTACAACAGTACTCCGAATCGAGGCAATACAACCCTTGTACTGCATCAGAAAATCTCATGCATTTTAGAGAAAGACATTTTCCAGCACCTTACAATAGTGATAAAACAGAAAGAAAAAATCCATTAAGATGATGTATTGTATGCTCAAAAAATAATACAAGGCGCAGTACTAGATACTATTGTAAACAATGTAATGTTGGCCTATGTGTAGCCCCATGCTTCAAAATTTATACCAAAGAATAAAATTTATCATAATATTCAAAAACTTGCCTTATTTCTTTGTGATATGAATGAAATAAAACTATAATTTTGAATTGACTTTTCTAATTTTTCATTTATCAAATAAAATTGTGAACATTTAAAAATAACGTAATAAAAACATATATGTATATGTTATCTATTCTGATTTACAAGTAAAGCTGCCTGTAAAGTAAAACAAGCTTTCAGAGCTTTAAAGCTTCCCTCATCACACAAGAGCAAAATGGATTCATTGTCAATGCACAGCATAAAATATTGTGCGAACTATGAGTGCCAGCTGTGGCCAAGGTTTCGCAGCCAGTGAGTGGCATACCAAAGTGGTTAAAAACAGTAATAGTTTTAAATTAGAACATGTGGAATGTGGGGAGAATTCTCATACCTTATTGCCTTATTGGGGAAAGTGCAAATTGTTATAATCTTCCTGGAGGACAATTTATCAAAGTGCATCAAAACATATCAAATGCTATAAAATAACGTTTATATCATTTAACCTAATAATTCTACCTTTTGGACTTTAGAACTTTATTGAAGGAAACAATTGGATTTATGCAAAATAAAAAAATACATCAAGATTATTGATCACAATGGCAAATATCAGAAACAACTTAAAGTTCAGCAAAGGAATGTCTGTTTCATCCAGGCATTAGAATTTTTTTTCCCCCCCTTGGTTAGACTGCCTTTTATTTATTTATTTTATTTTATTTTTTTCCTTTTTTTATTTTGGCATATTATGGGGGTACAGATTTTAAGGTTTCAATAAATGCCCATTTCCCCCCCCCAAAAGTCTGAGTCTCCATCATGACCATCCCCAGATGGTGCACATCTCACTCATTATGTATGTAATACCGCCCCCACTGCCCAATACCCTATTACTGTAGCACCTATGCACTTAGGTGCTACTCAGTTAATACCAGTTTGCTGGGAATATATCTGGTGCTTGTTTTTCCATTCTTGGGATACTTCACTTAGTAGTATGGGTTCCAGCTCTAACCAGGAAAATATAAGATGTGCTATGTCACCATTGTTTCTTAGAGCTGAATAGTATCCATGGTTATATATACCACTTTTTTTAATCCATTCTTGGATTGATGGGCACTTGGCTGTTTCCACAGCCTTGCAATTATGAATTGTGCTGCTATAAACATTTGAGTGCAGGTGTCTTTTTGTAGAGTGTCACTGGATCATTTGGGTAGATGCCCAGCAATGGGATTGCTGGATCAAATGGTAG